CTCTCTCTCTCTCTCTCTCTCTCTCTCTCTCTCTCTCTCTCTCTCTCTGTGTGTGTGTGTGTGTGTGTGTGTGTGTGTGTGTGTGAAAGACATAAGACTACAATTTAGGGTCCAGTCCTACACAGTCTGTCAGGGAATAAAACCCACTAAATTCATTGGGTTTTATGTCTAATTGAATATGCATAGGATTTGTTGACCAAAAATAAAAACCTTTAAATCATTATGTGTGCTGTCTCCTCCACCCATCAATTTAGCTATCCAATCATCTTGCCTTTCAGCTGAATTAAGGACTCAGGATGATGAAGAAATAAAATAGAGGTATGGATTCTGAGACTTCAGAACACACACACACACACACACACACACACACACACACACACACAGAGGGAGGGGGAGGGAGGGAGAGTTACATTTCTTGAGGGAGAGAAAGGTAAAGGAAGAAAAAAATGTGAAAATTGGCTGAGGCAGTTATTTATCTCTAGACTAGCTTATTATTTTTCTCCCTCTGACTTTAGATCAGACTGTTGAGTATCTTTTGGTCAGCATTAGTGTGAGCAGGAGAGCTATCTATGTGGGAAGGTTTTGCTTTATTTTATTTATGTTCCAAGTTTAGTGCATAGCATGGACCTCTTAGAAAGACCTCTTTGGGAATTTGATAAAATAAGCTAATTAGTTAGGTGGCTGATTTTGAAAGTAAGCGATATTGATGCTAGGTTGGTATTTTAATGAGAAATCTCCAGGAAAGTTCATGGAAGCAGACAAGAATCAAATCCTAAAGTCAGGAAAGCATCCCATTCCCATCCAATGGGAGGCTTTCATTTGACCATGTCAAGAAATCTGTGTATGTCAAAGTCACTTAGGTGAAACTTGACTTGAGGTGACCTTATTTACTTAAAACAAAAACAATTGGCACATACAGCATGATAAAAACCAGGGCATGTGTTGGCTGCTAGCCTACAGATAGAGAAGTACAATTGGACTATTTGTATCTTGGTCTTCCAGAAAACATCTAGAACACAATTCATCAGAGCATCCATGAAGATTCCTACCTGGAAACAATAAGCTTTTTCCTATTTTACAAAAGATACAATAAGGAAACAAATGATACCTAGGCCACAAGGACAAATTTCATTTCAGTAACTTTCAAAAGTATATGAATGCATTAGATTTTGTATAAATAATCTCTAAAACAGTACCACATGTGTCTATGTTTTAAGAAACCTTGATAGGTGAATTCAGCCTATGAATTAATCTTCTTTCTTCCTTTCCTCTTGGTTCCATAGGATATGCTTAAAGTGACTGATACACATAGGTGAAATATATATAATCCCATAAGATTAGATTTAAATACAAGTTTATGGGACCTATGTATTTGTCTTGAATGTAGGTTATGAGTTGGATATTCTAAGATGATCAAAGGTCTGGAGACTAAAATGTATGAAAAATGGCTGCAGGATTTGAGTTTGGCTAGTGTAAAGAAAAGAAGAATTAGGGGTGACATGATAGCAATATTCCAGTACTTGAGGGCTGCCACAAAGAAGAGGGGGGTCAAATTATTCTCCAAAGCACCAGAGGGCAAGACAAGAAACAATTTTGGAAACTAATCAAAGAGAGAAGCAACCTGCAGGAGAACCTATCCTATTTCAGAAAAGTGATTATCTAAACCAGGGGTGCCAACCAGGTGTGCTTAGATCTGGCCCGTGGTGCTGCCTGCTGAAGGACTGGTCTGTGGTGCCTCTGCCAGCATGCGGTTCTCCCAAGCTCAGTTTTTCCTGGCAGAGGGTTGCAGGATGCCATCACAGCTGAAAATAGAGCTTATTAATGTTGAGCGTAGTCCTCCCAAGCTCCACTTTTGCTGACAAAGTGTTGCACGAGGCCGTTGAGCCCCAAAACCGAGCTCACAAAAGCTCCATTTTTGCTGGTAGAGGGTTGCAGGATGCTGTCCCAGCAAAAAACCAAGCTTCAGAACCCATTTTTGCTGCCAGTGTGCTTGGGCCATAGATGCCCCTGACACAAGCTGGCCACGTCCACCCTGGCCATGCCTGCGCAGGCCCTCAAGGTCAAACACAATCCTAATGTGGCTCTCAATGAAATTGAGTTTGACACCCCTGGTCTACACTCTTCTTAAAAATATCCAATGATGACCATGATTTCTGGAGGCAAACTGTTCCACTGGTTAATTGTCATCACCGTTAATTTCAGGTTGCTTCTCTCTTTGATTAGTTTCCAACCCATTGTTTCTTGTCCTGCCCTCTGGTGCTTTGGAGAATAATTTGACCCCCACTTCTTTGTGGCAGCCCCTCAAGTATTGGAATACTGCTATCATGTCACCCCTAATAACAATTGACACTGGGAATGGAGTTTCTCTTGCATACACATCTCCGGCTTGATTTTAGAGCTGATGCTATATGCAAGTGCCTGTTTTTTATCTACTTTTATCCTTTTATTCCTTATATAGGACTGTCTGCTTACAAGTTTCTGAAAATACCCCTCCCTCCACATTTCAATGTTATGCCTATGGGAAAGTAGACCATCAAGGGGGAAAACAGGGAAAGTACCAGCCTCTGGCAGCAGAATTAAGTTGCAAGAGGAAGGGTTGGAGCTTAGATTTTCAAGACATGTGGAAAGGGGAAAATCTATCTTGCAGTGCTGTAAAAGATGAGCTGGGAGTTGGATGTCAGTGCACCCACTCTCAATAATTGATATGATGAATATTCTCAACCCTGCAACACCTTCTGTATCTTCCCAATCTCAAGAAACTTCATTTATCAACCATGTTTGAAATGTTTAAGTAATCTCAGTGATGTATGGCATGCTGACACTCCCTTGTTAGAAATCCCCACTACTATCATTCTATCTAATTAAAAAGCTACTGAGCTCTTGTGCATAAAATTATCATAAATTATCTCTGAAGGTTCATTGCTTTTTGGAATGTTTAATTGCTCACTTGGCTGAACTTCAGTGGCTCAGTATTATTAATCAATTTGTCAGAGGGGCCCCTTTAATGTTTTTATTTATTTATTTAAATCAACCTGAGTACTTGCTGAGATAACATTGCAGAGGTTCCTCTTTATCAAGAGGAAATATTCTTTTTAAGGCTTTGCAGGAACCGCCATTCATATTTGTTTAAGCATTGGATTCCATGCTGGATGGGAAATAAAATTTCTTTGTGCCAACAGTTTGGCAAAGACTATCAAAGAACATGCAGTGATAGCAGAAAGGAAAAGAATTGTGAGGAATGATATAGAAGTGATGCTAATCATTATGTACATAGTCATAAAATTAGTTCATAGGAAGCCAGCAGTCAATTCTCCTAAAGAGAGACGCAACAATTAATAGGAAGGAAATCTGAAAAACATGATAGTTTTGTAAGAACAATATATCACTCTATCAATAAGACAACCTCTTTCTTTCTTTCTTTCTTTCTTTCTTTCTTTCTTTCTTTCTTTCTTTCTTTCTTTCTTTCTTTCTTCCTTCCTTCCTTCCTTCCTTCCTTCCTTCCTTCCTTCCTTCCTTCCTTATATTAACACAGTTCCTGCGAAAGTCCAGAAATATTTCACAAGAAGAGTTCTCCACTCCTCTACTCGTTGCAGAATACCTTATGCCACCAGACTTGAAATTCTAGACCTAGAAAACCTAGAACTATGCCACCTTCGGTCTGATCTAAGTATAGTATATAAAATCATATATTGCAATGTCCTACCTGTCAATGAATACATCAGCTACAACCATAATAACACAAGAGCAAACAATAGATACAAACTCAAGGTTAATCGCACCAAACTTGATTGCAGGAAATATGACTTCAGCAACAGAGTGGTCAATGTCTGGAATACTCTACCTGACTCCGTGGTTTTTTTCCCCAAACCCCAAAAACTTTAACCTTAGACTGTCTACTATTGACCTCACCCCTTTCCTAAGAGGTCTGTAGGGGGCGTACATAAGTGCACCAATGTGCCTACCATCCCTGTCCTATTGTTTTTTATTTTTCTTATATGTATCCATGTATTCATAACTATGTTTTCACTTACACCTATTATCTTGTAAGCAATTGACAAAAATAAATAAATAAATAAAATACATGAGGTCAGAATAATAAAGCTTACTCATAAAAGCTACCCTACCAAAATAGTTCTTCTAACTTCCTGGTTCAAATATTTGTGAGAAACAGCCAAGTCTTCTGGATTTTCAAATGAGTATGTTCCCCCAGTT